TGTTACACATTCAAGTATGTATGAGCAATGGTAACAGTGATAATTGCAAATGCCCCTAATGTTAGTTAATTTTATTAATAATAGCTATTATAAAGTTGTTAGTTAATAAACATACAACTAATACAACTAATAAAAATATACAACTTTTGATTTTAATAACGCATTTAGTAAATGTTCAAATGAACATTAATTGAGATAAATAAATGCTTTAAAACTGTTTTTCGTTGTTAGTTCATGTCAGTTCAGGCCCATTAACTAATATTAACAGAAACAACTTTTGATTGTATTTGTGACCCTGGATCACAAAACCAGTCATAAGGTTCAATTTTTCCGAAACTGAGATTTATACACCATCTCAAAGCTGAATAAATTACCCCAGCGACTTAAAACTGCTTTTGTGCTCCAGGGTCACATTTAGTGAACACTGAAACTAGCTTTATGCTTAAAAACTATTTTTTCATTGTTTGTTAATGTTAACTAACTTTAATAAATGGAAACTTATTGTTAAGTGTTATGATAAAGCGTTTTCAGTGGAATTGGTTAAGAACTAAAATCATGAACTAAGTGAAGTGGCATTACTTTGAGTGTGTCTGCGAGGGGTTTCTCTGAGAACACCTCCAGAATGGAGATGCTGGACTCCTGTGTGCTGTAGCGTGTGACCGCAGCACTGCTGACCGCACCGTTTTTTCCTGCGCGCATGGCCATCACGTGTTCGGACAGCAGGTGGTCATGGTCCTCATTAGGGGTGTCCAACAAGATGAAGACCAGATCGAACCTGGACAGCAGCGCACTTCCCATTCTAGAGGGACACAGGCAACACTTTTAACACCGAAGGCATGTTATGGAAGCAGAATAGCCAAAAATACAATGACTTTGCCTGTAGTGTCTTGTTTAAGCACATCAATCTGATGTTCAATGTTGTAAAACAGACAAAACACACATATCAATTATTAGACTTATAAACTATGTTACTTGGCAGAAGAAGCGTTGATTATTAATTCACTGAACATTATCATATCAGGCTTATTGGTCAGACTTTACAGTGGTTTACAACTGTATTTGTTGCTTATTGCTGTATCTTTAATCCACTGTATAATCCAGGTCTTTAGTAGTATATTTAGTAGTGGTAAAAATCATCAGTAGTATCTCACTCAGGCATACAGTACACTCACTTCAGGTTCTCAGAGACAGTCTTGGCTTTATTGTAATGTCCTCCGACTGGATTGGCCGCTGCGATGATGGAGGTTCGAGCAGGAAGTGTGCAGACAATCCCAGCTTTAGCCAGACTGATGCTCTGCTGCTCCATGGCTTCCAGAAGAGCCTGATGCTGGCTGCCCATCTTATCAAACTCATCGATACAACAGATACCTGGTGAAAATATTTAATATTAAACATCACATTCCCAAGGATCAGCCTTCCATGTTTGGATCCTGAGTTGATTTATATGTTGATGTTGTAGGTTAAATACCTTGATCTCCCAGCACCAGCGCTCCAGCCTCAAGAGCGTAATCTCCCGATCCGCTGTCCCGGGACAGAGATACAGTCAGTCCTGAGGTGGTGGTCGTGTTTCCACACACATATACACCCCTTGGAGCCACGTTACACACGGCCTGGACACACACAGTAATAACAACAGCACACAGATGGCATTTTAACTAAATTCAAATCATCTGACTGGGTGATAAATGCATTAGAGCAGGGGTGGGCAAACTTGGCCCTTCCAAGTCACTTTCCTTCAGAGTTTAGCTCCAACTGTAATCAAACACACCTGAACCAGCTAATCATTGTCTTCAAGACTACTAGAAAGCTACAGGCAGGTGAGTTTTATCAGGGTTGGATCAAATCTCTGCAGGAAAGTGGCCTGGAAGGGCCAAGTTTGCACATCACTGCATTAGAGGGACTCATGAGATCATGTACCTGTAACATCTGACTTTTACCAAGTCCAGGGTCTCCAACGATAAGAATATGTGGGTCTCCTCTTATTGGGATACGGTTTTTATCATCAACATACTTTTGACACCCACCAAACAGAGTCAGAGCCAGTCCTGCTTTGACAAGCTGAGAAATCGTACAGAGATATCACAGACAAATTAAAGGAGGCATATTTTGTTTGTTTACCATTTCATTTACTAAATCTAAGCTTCAAAAAAAAAAAACTCAAGAACAAATTCAAGTTACACAATAACACAATATTTGGACACTTACCAAATGGCCATAAATGGCAGGACAAAGAGAGCTGCAATTAAATGAAAATCAAATTAGCTTCTTCATTTGTAATATGTCATGATTGGCTTTGTGTTCACTAGATGTTACTCACTTCACTATGAGTCTGAATAAGTCCTCTTGCGCTTGAATCTCTTGGATGGCGTAGAGATCTTTGATGGAGAACTCCACTGAAGGTCCCTGGCCCTCAGAATCAGACACCGCTTTGCTTTTCTGACCCTTCGAGTTGCTGACAGAATTCGCCTGAATGTACAACAGGAACATACACTTGTCCTTCTTGTTTCTGCCATTTCCTGAAGAAAGAATTCATCAAAAATCATAAACAGGAAAGAGCAGTCTTGAATAAAATAATGTTTTAATCTGTTGATCCGGGACACAGTAATAGTCTAAGAAGCAGTCTGTTCACCTTCAACTATCATTATTGGACAAAATAATATTGGTCATAAAAATAATATTGGACATTCTCTAATCAAAGATAGTATACACTAAGAGCAAATAGCAAAAAAAGTAAAAAGTCAAAGTATTGTAAATAGTAGTTCTATGCTATTTGCACTAAGTGTAAATAGTGTTACAGATGCCTTGTGTCATTTGTGGCAGGATATTTGCATCTAGTGTAAATAGGCATTCCTATAAATAAATAAATGGATATAGTATATTAATTTCAGTCTACATAATTATGTGAGAGGTATAACAGCTCAGCACAAAGATCCTCTCTGCACAGTGAATGTGACCATCATGTAAAAACTGAATCAGACAGAAGGCCACCCGAGGCTGTCCTGTTTGTACGTCACATTGAGGTCAGATGCAAAAATAGCACTAGCAGAACTTTGCCGGACTGTAATATGATTGTTTCTGTTAAGTCCTTGTTACTGAGAAGCTAAATGCATGAGAATCAATCAATTTGTAATAAAAAAGCACCTTATCAGAATCTACCAGCTTTCTAAAGATCGTTGCACTGACAGTGTGGACAATGTCTCGTACCCTCTTCATTGGACACTTTAATGACCCCTGTGATGGTGACCATGTCTCCAGGCACACAGCTGTCCACGAGGTCCTGCGTGAGCTCACATTCAATGGTGCGCGGGATTCGACCGGACTCACGCTGGTCACCTGACATCAGCTCCTGAACCCTGTGAAGAGCACAGCAGGAGAAACCAATGAGGGATGGTGTTCTCTAAAACATCTCACACCCGGGTTGTTATTGTTCACATTTTTTATTGTTTTAAAAAAATTCATTAATAAAAATTGAAATAAAGCTCAAATTAAACATTACTATTATATTAGAAATTAAACAAAAACTTAAATGAAAACTAGAAATTGTCCCTTTGCAACTAACTGAAATTAAATTACTTTAAGTTAAAGTACTACAATTACTAAAAATAAATAATATTTATAAAAAAATAATAATGTCAAAAACAAAAATATTAATAACTCATCCAAAATATTAATACATAATATCATAGTATATAAATAATACTAAATCAACACTGGCAAACACGCACCAGAATAATAGAAATTAATAAAAAAAATTAATGCTTAAGAAAAGATAGCTGAATATATTTGACGATGAGAATATTCTACAAGCATTTACACTGAAAGCTAAAAAAAAAAAAGAAATTAAAAACATCTGCATAAAAAAGGAACACGAAATTTGTTCTGCTCAGGTAAATTTTAATTCATGTAGTTATATATTTACATACTTTATTGTCTGCCAGTCAACAGTGAGTGTTAAAGGTGAACTTCTGTTTGGAGTGAACGAGCGACCACGACATTCTGTCTGTAAACACTGAAAGGGAAAAAATAAACAATGTTAGACATCACTTAATACAGCAAACCTTTGTTACAGCTACTACTGTATTTACAATAAATCTAATTTTATGTGCATTGTTTACAGATTATCCTTTGTTCTATATGTAATTTGCTCTGTAGACTCAGTGAAACGTATTTTTTTTTCACTGCATTATTATATATGGGTGAAACTGCACAAAACTTGACTAACGTCATTTAGTAAACAAGTAATAAGCAAGTAATGTTTGTCTGAAGCTGGAAGCATGCTGTACCTTAGTGGGTATGGTGTATTTCCCATCAGGCAGTGAGACGCTCTGTGCGTCTCCACAGCTGTTACAGACGAACGCCAGCTTACTGCAGAGCGGCTTAATGTTACTCACTCTCACCACGGTGCCTCTGATCGCAACAAACTTGCCATATAAATTCGCTCTCAGACTTTTCAAAGGAGTCAGTGGCTCGTAGTTATACACCCTAAAAGAGAGAAATAAACAAAAAAGTAAATGAAAACATTTTTAGAGTTGATTTTTTTTTTTTGCAAAATGTAACTATATTAAATCACCCAACTCTTTATAAAAAGTTGAATACATAAGTATGTCCAACTTTATCCGCATGCATAAAGTTTACTGACGTAGGGCTATATAGAAAATCTCAACTACTCAATTTGCTTGTATTTTTGCAGAATATTATGTGAGAGGTATAACAGCTCAGCACAAAGATCCTCTCTGCACGGTGAATGTGACCATCATGTAAAAACTGAATCAGACAGAAGGCCACCCGAGGCTGTCCTGTTTGTACAGCACATTGAGGTCAGATGCAAAAATAGCACTAGCAGAACTTTGCCGGACTGTAATATGATTGTTTCTGTTAAGTCCTTGTTACTGAGAAGCTAAATGCATGAGAATCAATCAATTTGTAATAAAAAAGCACCTTATCAGAATCTACCAGCTTTCTAAAGATCGTTGCACTGACAGTGTGGACAATGTCTCGTACCCTCTTCATTGGACACTTTAATGACCCCTGTGATGGTGACCATGTCTCCAGGCACACAGCTGTCCACGAGGTCCTGCGTGAGCTCACATTCAATGGTGCGCGGGATTCGACCGGACTCACGCTGGTCACCTGACATCAGCTCCTGAACCCTGTGAAGAGCACAGCAGGAGAAACCAATGAGGGATGGTGTTCTCTAAAACATCTCACACCCGGGTTGTTATTGTTCACATTTTTTATTGTTTTAAAAAAATTCATTAATAAAAATTGAAATAAAGCTCAAATTAAACATTACTATTATATTAGAAATTAAACAAAAACTTAAATGAAAACTAGAAATTGTCCCTTTGCAACTAACTGAAATTAAATTACTTTAAGTTAAAGTACTACAATTACTAAAAATAAATAATATTTATTAAAAAATAATAATGTCAAAAACAAAAATATTAATAACTCATCCAAAATATTAATACATAATATCATAGTATATAAATAATACTAAATCAACACTGGCAAACACGCACCAGAATAATAGAAATTAATAAAAAAAATTAATGCTTAAGAAAAGATAGCTGAATATATTTGACGATAAGAATATTCTACAAGCATTTACACTGAAAGCTAAAAAAAAAAAAGAAATTAAAAACATCTGCATAAAAAAGGAACACGAAATTTGTTCTGCTCAGGTAAATTTTAATTCATGTAGTTATATATTTACATACTTTATTGTCTGCCAGTCAACAGTGAGTGTTAAAGGTGAACTTCTGTTTGGAGTGAACGAGCGACCACGACATTCTGTCTGTAAACACTGAAAGGGAAAAAATAAACAATGTTAGACATCACTTAATACAGCAAACCTTTGTTACAGCTACTACTGTATTTACAATAAATCTAATTTTATGTGCATTGTTTACAGATTATCCTTTGTTCTATATGTAATTTGCTCTGTAGACTCAGTGAAACGTATTTTTTTTTCACTGCATTATTATATATGGGTGAAACTGCAAAGTATTGTAAATAGTAGTTCTATGCTATTTGCACTAAGTGTAAATAGTGTTACAGATGCCTTGTGTCATTTGTGGCAGGATATTTGCATCTAGTGTAAATAGGCATTCCTATAAATAAATAAATGGATATAGTATATTAATTTCAGTCTACATAATTATATTATGTGAGAGGTATAACAGCTCAGCACAAAGATCCTCTCTGCACGGTGAATGTGACCATCATGTAAAAACTGAATCAGACAGAAGGCCACCCGAGGCTGTCCTGTTTGTACAGCACATTGAGGTCAGATGCAAAAATAGCACTAGCAGAACTTTGCCGGACTGTAATATGATTGTTTCTGTTAAGTCCTTGTTACTGAGAAGCTAAATGCATGAGAATCAATCAATTTGTAATAAAAAAGCACCTTATCAGAATCTACCAGCTTTCTAAAGATCGTTGCACTGACAGTGTGGACAATGTCTCGTACCCTCTTCATTGGACACTTTAATGACCCCTGTGATGGTGACCATGTCTCCAGGCACACAGCTGTCCACGAGGTCCTGCGTGAGCTCACATTCAATGGTGCGCGGGATTCGACCGGACTCACGCTGGTCACCTGACATCAGCTCCTGAACCCTGTGAAGAGCACAGCAGGAGAAACCAATGAGGGATGGTGTTCTCTAAAACATCTCACACCCGGGTTGTTATTGTTCACATTTTTTATTGTTTTAAAAAAATTCATTAATAAAAATTGAAATAAAGCTCAAATTAAACATTACTATTATATTAGAAATTAAACAAAAACTTAAATGAAAACTAGAAATTGTCCCTTTGCAACTAACTGAAATTAAATTACTTTAAGTTAAAGTACTACAATTACTAAAAATAAATAATATTTATAAAAAAATAATAATGTCAAAAACAAAAATATTAATAACTCATCCAAAATATGAATACATAATATCATAGTATATAAATAATACTAAATCAACACTGGCAAACACACACCAGAATAATAGAAATTAATAAAAAAAATTAATGCTTAAGAAAAGATAGCTGAATATATTTGACGATGAGAATATTCTACAAGCATTTACACTGAAAGCTAAAAAAAAAAAAGAAATTAAAAACATCTGCATAAAAAAGGAACACGAAATTTGTTCTGCTCAGGTAAATTTTAATTCATGTAGTTATATATTTACATACTTTATTGTCTGCCAGTCAACAGTGAGTGTTAAAGGTGAACTTCTGTTTGGAGTGAACGAGCGACCACGACATTCTGTCTGTAAACACTGAAAGGGAAAAAATAAACAATGTTAGACATCACTTAATACAGCAAACCTTTGTTACAGCTACTACTGTATTTACAATAAATCTAATTTTATGTGCATTGTTTACAGATTATCCTTTGTTCTATATGTAATTTGCTCTGTAGACTCAGTGAAACGTATTTTTTTTTCACTGCATTATTATATATGGGTGAAACTGCACAAAACTTGACTAACGTCATTTAGTAAACAAGTAATAAGCAAGTAATGTTTGTCTGAAGCTGGAAGCATGCTGTACCTTAGTGGGTATGGTGTATTTCCCATCAGGCAGTGAGACGCTCTGTGCGTCTCCACAGCTGTTACAGACGAACGCCAGCTTACTGCAGAGCGGCTTAATGTTACTCACTCTCACCACGGTGCCTCTGATCGCAACAAACTTGCCATATAAATTCGCTCTCAGACTTTTCAAAGGAGTCAGTGGCTCGTAGTTATACACCCTAAAAGAGAGAAATAAACAAAAAAGTAAATGAAAACATTTTTAGAGTTGATTTTTTTTTTTTGCAAAATGTAACTATATTAAATCACCCAACTCTTTATAAAAAGTTGAATACATAAGTATGTCCAACTTTATCCGCATGCATAAAGTTTACTGACGTAGGGCTATATAGAAAATCTCAACTACTCAATTTGCTTGTATTTTTGCAGAATGTAAACAATATTATCGCCCATCTAATCTGCTAAATGCAACTTTAAAGCATGAATATAAATATTAATAATTATATAATATAAATATTAACATCGTGAATTTCTGTAAAGCTGATTTGAAACGATGTGTATTGTGAAAAGCGTATATAAATAAATTAGACATGACTTTCATATAGGCAAGTTAACAGTCTCACCTGGCGCTGATATAAGGGATGTTGATTATGGGCCGTAGACCAGCAGGAAGCTCTTCCTGTCCCTGCAGTTCTGCTGCATGTCTCTCCAGATCCACAGTAAGCACCTGTGGAGAAAAAAATCTAAATCTCTTTTTAAAAAAATCTAATTTAAGCTATTAAGAGAATTTGACAGACTAAAAGCAGTCAGTGACAAACACATATTTATGTAAATGCATAACACAAAACCCACCTGATGAATTGCGACACCCAAGCAGTCCAGTATCTTCTCAGGCATTTTTTTAAGATATTTGGCAAGATCAGGTAGAGTGTGTGAAATCAGTTTGTTAGACAGAAGGTCTTTGTAGTCCACCAAAATGCTGCCTTTCCTTTCAATCTCATCCTGAAAGATGAAAAAAAATCAGAGAAGAATATTTTGTTTTTAAATGAAGAATTAAAATAAGGGAATTAGGGAAAACCATGCTATGAATTCTGATACCTTATCATAAAGATCAATCTGCGATGTGAAGTACTGCTCAAACACTTTAATCTTCTCAACATAAGGTGAACTTTCGACAAATCCTGGAGAAGGAACAAACACAAATCACAAGAATATTTTAAGACATGTATTTAACAGATCAATAACAAATGTTTAAATAAACATAATAGGAAATGTGAAAATATCAAACCTTCAGAAAAATAGAGTCGCCATCCGTTGTATGGACACATGATGTCAAGGGTTGCTTGACTCACACGTGCTTCACTTGCCACAACTTGGGGAGTACATCCTGTGCAGCAACACCAACAACAACAAAAAAAAACAAAGCATATAAATAATCGAAAAATAATCAAACAATAGTTTATCAAGTGGGACAGGTTTTCTGCCGGTGTTCTGACGATTTGTGCTACCCGCTCAGATTGTGCTACCTCCCATTAAAGGGGTCATATGATGCGATTTCAAGTTTTCCTTTCTCTTTGGAGTGTTACAAGCTGATTAGATAAGATCCCTGAAGTTGCAAAGACTAAAGTCTCAAAACCAAAGAGATATTCTTTATCAAAGTTAAGACTCTGCCACGCCCCCTAAAACGGCTCGTTCTAACACACCCCACATATCTACCTCACTATGTGGAAATATTAGCATAATGCCGCCCAAATGTGCACGCAAAGAAAGAAGGCATGGTTTCAGTAACCGCAGTTAGTGTGTTTCTAGGCGAAAGCAAAAGCACTTTATGTGGCCTTCCGAAAGTAGATGCATTTAGGAATCTTTAAGATAACTTACAACAGAACAGCAATGCATTTTATGGACGACCGTTTCATGAACCTAGGAGAGGAGGTAATTCTGACTTTGCTATGACAATCTGGCGCTTCTGAATCAGCTACTGTAAGTATGTTTTGTTATTAGTTTAAGTATTTGCAATTGACTGTTCAAAT